ATGGATGGATGGATGGATGGATGGATGGATGGATGGATGGATGGATGAATGGATGGCCATGGATCTGCAGAAACCATTCTTTCCCGACTGATAAAGAATGATGTCCTGGTGTTGTGGTTTATTTAATCTGATGGTTAGTACACTACACATATAGAAGTTGTACTTTACCTGATATTTAATTTGATAACTTTACCCTGTAGCTGCAGTGAACAAAAATTCAGTCTGCTTGGTGAATGAGAAACGACCTCACGAGGCCGCAAAAGAGGGTCATCTACTCTCATGTGGTGGGGCATCCCCTCCCCGTACACATCCCAGCTGTAAAGAGTGAATCAGCAGTTCAGACAACGCATTCATCTAACGCTTTATTCTTAAAAACTTAACAGTTTTTATCGTTCTGGTAGATTTAGTGTCATGAATGATTCACTTGCTCAAAACAGGCTTCAAAAGGTTCGTCTTGTTCTTAGTTTCTTGGGGCAATTAGCAGTGAAATGTGCGTAAGCTTTGAGCTCTCACCAATAGTCTTCTTTACGCTGCTTCAGCTCTTTTTCCCGACTGTATATGCCAAGATGATGGTCATCATCACAGAGTGTTCGAGCTGAAAGAAGACACTTTCGTTTCTCAATTTTATTTAGATAATTAATCCTATTAAAAGTACCTATTTTTGCATATTTCCAAACAATAGAAAGATGAGTGCCCTCTCTAAAGCGGTGCACCTCCTTGTCATTGATCCAGCGGTAGATGGGAACATCGTAGGACTGTCCCTCAAGGGATTTCACTTGAACTTTGGCAGGGAACCAGTCATCTTCTGGAAACAGTGGGAGAGGCTGTTTGTCCAGCTCTATCAGCACCAGTTTTCCAATGGAACTCGGGCAGGGCACAGTAAACGATGCCACCTAACACCATTAGGCAAGACATTTTATTGCAGATTCTTGTTAATATCTTTTAGGGTTAGGGAACTGAATAGAGATGTGACTGCAAAACTGCATCACCTTGAACTCTCATCAAGCACTAAACATCACAGGCATGATAGATAACAAGACAGTAGATAACAAGATAGCATTGCCAGACTTTACACATAAATCTATCCACAACATTGACACACAAATCGTAACACAAACTCTTTGGAACTCACTGTTCTTGTTTATTGCCGGTTACTGGCATTGTAAAGACCTGATGACAAAATTCAATTTCAGAACTACTTTTGGTGAAAAATCTAATCTTATCTTGAAACTTGTCAACTGACCTGATACGATAACATGTATTTATATTAAAAAAATACCTTAAGATCCTCACTATTTCACTGTCTATTTTTTCAGAAGAATAAAAAAAATGTTTTTAGGATTAATCTTAATTGATTTCTTTTCTATGTATTTTTGTTTTCTCACGAAATGATGCTTTATTGTTAATATATAAAAAATTCCTTGATTCTTTAATTTCAGAGGCAATTTAAAGTCCAGCTAGAATTGGAATCTCAGTGTGCGGTGAAGCCAATGCATGGTGCCCTATTTGCCTTATCAAGTCTTTTCTCCCAAAGATAAATAAGAGAGCCCGGTTGAGTGAGGAAGTAAATAAAAAAGCATAGTTTTCAGGAGATAACCATTTTTCATTAGTGGACAAATAGCTTGGACACATCTAGATAAAAAGGCTTCTGTGGCTTTTTTTCTCAGCTGAATAGTAGATGAGTCTAACACCTGTTTTAGAAATAGAAAGTTATTTTATCTTTTACACTTTTAGTTCTTTTTCTCAGAGCGTTGTGGTATCTTTAGGTTTATATTCACATAATGAGGTTGCAATTGTTATGGAAATCAGTAAATGTATAATCAATTTCTTAATTTCTCTCTGGTAACTTTCCACAATTGAAGAGGTTCTATCCTCCTTTAAAGTTTCAGAGAAGGTCCAACAATCTTTTGTCTCTAAGATTGTTTAATACAGATGCAGGAGAAAGGACGTCTAATATTAGAATGAAGGACAGACTTTACATCTTATTTCAAACTCAGAGGGGTATAAAATGCATCATGATTTGTTTTACTTTAGGGCAGCTTGGTAGGCAGCCATATGAACCACTTGTATGATCGTGCTGGCTGCTCTCACTTCATGAAGTTTTCCATTTCAATAAATTTCTATTTCTTACTTCCTCCGATGAACTCATTTTTTCGCTCCAAAAGAAATTTCCATATATGAAAGTTCCACAACAATATTTTCTTTTCTGCTACAAAATCGGGGCAGATTTGTTAAGGTCATCTCCCTGGAGTTTGGTCACAACTGACTTTGCTTTTACATATTCTTGTTATAGAAATTTTGCATTATTGCAACATGTTATCAACCTTTAAGCATGAATCTTTGCTTGTCTCACTGGCATTTGACATTTTAATGGAAGACAAAATGTCACCTGTGGCTAAATAAATTGATCTGATGTTACTCTCGTAATAACTAGATTGAAGATATATGTTGGTGCACTAACAAGGATAGGCTGATTATTCTAACCCAAAGCAACACATATTCAGTGGAAATTATCATTGAATTAACCTGAGGATATCTGTTTTGTTCACATAGCGTAGATATATTAATTGTTTCAAGTATTTGCCTCGCTTGCAAAAAATGTTCCACTTCTAAACAATGCTTTTATTCAGTGCATTAGCAAAGACACTGACATAATGAAAAGGTACCACGCTTATAAAAGTGCCTGTTTAATTTAATCAGACATACTCTTGTCCACTGCCGTGGGAAAATGAAAAAAAAAGCTGGCTCCGATGCGGTACGTGTTTCCACACGGACCAGTATATTGACGGACCAGGAGCGAGAAGGTGTATGTTTGGGTGGGAAGTTTTATTGTCGACTACGGAATGTATGATGAAGCTGGTTGGTAAATAAAGTGTTAAATGGAAGGTGTTGTTGTAATATTTGACCCAGCGTAAATTACTGGGTGAATTGTTTGGAACTGCCGGGAATGCTGGGAAATGTAGTGACGCTGTGTGTGATAGACGGCGGCTACGGTTCGGGAACAGAGGGGGAAAACTGCTCCGTTTTCACAGAGATTAACATGAGTTATCTTGTTTCAGTGGAAAGCTCTGCTTTTGAGTGTTGCATCATGTTAATTGCACTTTTTTTTTCTGGGGTTGTTTTTTTAATCATTTTACTGGGCTTTAAAAAGGCCACAAGAACTAGAGAGAGAAGCCAAGTGGTTGAATCTCCCAATGTCCACTTCAAGAGCCACAGAATGGGCTGTAACAAGTCCAATCCACACAGGCCCCATGCAGCGAACACCAAATGCATAGTGGCACGGTAGCTGTGTCTGTGCTTTTGCGTTTTTGTGCAGTGCAGATTATTGGGCTGTTATCACCATCTTGTTCATTTCCCTCCAAATTTCTAATAATATTTAGAGGGACTCTATGACTAAATGATGAAATAGATGATTCTGTTTGACACAAAATCTCCATCTCTCAACTAATCGCAGCACCAGGTTAAAAACATAGCTATAAAGACAAATTACAGCCAGTTTTTGAACCACAGATAGAATTAGATCTCTTTCAATCCAACTGAACATGTCTTTTAATATTTACTAAGTGTTTTTCAGTGCACTGTGGAACTGATTGATACCTATGGAACCAAATCTGAGCAAACAATATGGCTATACATTAAATGAGATATTGCTATGCAATCACTTATAGTAAAGTAATACTTTATACCAAAGACGGAGAATTAAGTCACTCAGTGTTTTGCAACCATGTTATTTTTTGGACTAACCTCCCTGATGACCTGCAGGTGAGTGTTAGTGATGACTGGCATACATGAACACACACACTTCTTGCATACTTTAAACTTGAACAAGTTTGAACAACACAAGATTTGTATTTATTCTTTAATTAAAAGCTGAAATGCCAACAACTTCAATCCGATTAATATCCATGTATGAATCTACATAACATAGAACAAACAGCGTATGGGACTGTATAGTGTATGTACACACAACAACATTTACAATTATACCATTTGTGACAGCTTCAAAGCTGCATCATTACCTGTATAACAAATGCACTTGATATAACAAAGCACAATAAAAAGAAACTGTAGATTTAAGAGTCTCAAAAATCAATTACTGATGCACCTTTCAAGTATCTGAAGATAGTTTGAGTAAGTTTAGTAGGCTTTGGATAGAGGTCAGGACAGAGAATGACTAAACAGGAGATCTTTGAATTTAAGTGGGACCAAAAGAAATGCTTTACTGCTACAACCAAATGACACCAAAAGTTTTTCTGCATGTAAAGGATTTTTTTTTAAAGCTGATATTTTTTTATATAAAGCTGAGATCCTTGTGGAATGGAGTAACATAAAAAAGGCTTTATTCTGGCCTGTGATGTTCATATTGCCTATGACGACATAAAGTCATTCCTCCAGTAGAACGGGTAGCTGAATGCACATAACGAAGATTAACATTCCTCATACAGAAGGACAAAGAACAGAGTAGGAAAGTAGGTGCCAATTGAATTGACTTCGGTTCAATTTTGATTTTGGCAAGATTGGTTGTTTCACTACTTAGTGAATGAATGGGACCATATTCATATATTTATCTTCATAACTTTACAAAATAAATAATTACTTTAACAAACAAAACACCATTCAAAATCATCTAAATTTTGTTCTCACATTAAGAGTAGGTCAACATTAAGCTTTGAAAAAATATTTTTATAAAGGTTTTTTGACAGTACAGTTTTAGTATTCATTTTTATCTCCAACCACAAGAGAGGTTTGTCCCCCAATCAAAACAGCCACAGAATGCAACCCTTAACAAATGTTTTGACATCAAACATTGTTTGTTGTTAAGATATTAAAGTAAAGCAAATAAGAATTCCAAGCGAAGGAATACATCTTTCTAAAAAGAAAAAAGAGAAAAGAATGAGGGAGGAGCCTTTAGATGATGTGTCTGAAGGGCTTCCGATGTGAGAAATGGAGGGCGAGATAAGCTGGTAGGATGCATGCAGGGCTCAGAGTGTAAAGGTAGTGGGGTGCGAGGACTGGATACTGCCAGGATCTGCCCATGAAATTAAGTTCAGTCCTCTGTATTCATGTACAGTAAGAGAAAACCAAAGCTCTACCGATCCAAAATGTCTTCAGATACTCTTCACAGGAGTGCCGGAGTGACGAAAGAGGGGTAAGAGAAGGCCCAGGCAGAGGGAGGGAGAGTCACGGAAGAGTCAGTTCTCTGTGAGATGATTTTCCCTCTTGTTTATTTTCCTGCCCTTTTCTCTACTTTCAGTCAGAGTCTCCTCAAATTATGCTCCTCCATGCAGGAGCCTTTCCTCAAGGTGAAGTCATCCACAGCCATCTCTCCACTCCTGCCTCGCCCACGCTCTCCTTTCAGGATCACCTGATGAACAGGAGAATATTGCACACTCAGCTAATCCCACAGAGGAGAGACATTTCTTTTCAATTAAAAGGGACTTTCTTTTTGAGAGCCTCACTAAAACATTTGCAGCTTTTCTCTAGTAACGTAGAATGCGTCTTTGATTCCTTCTTTTTTATTTCCCTCTTAGAAATAATGTAAAATCTAATTCAGCAGTTGATGCTTAACTTAACTTTATTTATATACTTAAAGTCATACTTACACTTTCCAGGCCTGTACCCCATAACGTGATTTGGGTGTGCCTCCAGCCGTTACCCCCTGTTCGGCCCCACACTGCTGGACTGTACTGTTTTCCCTTCTTCACAAAAACTTGAAGCATTCCCACATGATGTCCTGCCAGTTTATGCCGGAAAGACAGGCACAGATTGCCATCGTTCCAGGGCGGGATGAGTGGGAGTACCAGCCGGGCCCCTCGTCCAGTCCTCTTGTTTCCCGTTTCGGGAATTGTCAAGTACCGCCCACCTGCGCAGGCAAAAAGAATGGAGATCATGGCCAACTGCTGTAAGGACGGCAATGTAAATTTCAGTCATAATGGGAAAAACCTGTGTTAGTGGATAATGAAATATTTTTCCTTAGGTTAAAAATGAAACAAGCAAATTTCAACCAACCAATTTAATTAAAAAAATATTCACATTGGTTGTCTATAGGAGAAGCATAGTGTTGAATATGTGAACCTTAAAAGAGCTTCTGGTGAATAGCTGATTAATGCTTAAGCACGGTGAAGTATCTTGGGGCCACAGAGGCTTTCTGCATAAGTATATACCTTCATCCAAGTATAAGCCATTCCTCTTATAGGCATGTCTGTCATTGGCTGTCTATCATAAGGATATTAAGCGGTGCAGAGTAAACAGTTGACTCCATCATAACTCAAAGGTGTGAGGAAAATATGTCTGGGGCTACATTTGAGAAATTTTCCAGCAGTTCTGGAAACAGACTGCTGCTGCTTCTGCTGTTGATTAAAGGAATTATACATTGTCAGCACATTGCCTATAATCTAGTGATAATTATTTTCTGGAAAACACAAAGGTCTCAGAAAAACCCTTTATTTACACTAATGAGGAATAAACAATGCCTTAGTCTGGAAGTCAGGAAAAACACAAATATCGGCGAGACATATCCAGTCGGCTACAGAGGCCAAGTGCAGCCTATTGCCACTTAAACAGCTCCAGGGCACAGCACTGTTTAGACTTTGGACACCTGAGTCCTCTCAACATAATTGACCATGTCTTCTCCTTGCCTGCAAACCAAGATAAAAACAGTTTTATGTTTCCATTTAATGGGCCACATAATCCACTCTTAATTTGCATCGCTTTGTAAAGTAAAGCGCTAATCTGCCGGGAAAAGGAACTATGTCTCCAAAGTCATTTTGACCCTCACTTGTTGCTGAAAAGAACAAAACTGATGTGTTCAGATTGTCTGCATTAGTTTTCATGCGCTCTTACTAAATGACCTATTTTAATTTCCATTTATGGACTAGGAAATAAACACTTTTTCCTATTAAAAGAGAGAAATTCCAATGTATCGAAACCCAGCTTTCAATTACCTGTTGGATCGGGCGTCGTCTCCCAGTGCAGGTCCCCGTCTTTGTCCCTGATCCAACCACAGAGACCATCATCAAAGGAGCAGCTCAGATAACCCGATGCTAAATCAGGCGACATATTTAAGAGAAAGGGACACACACACATACACAGTTGTTAACCTTCCTCAACAGCAGAAGGGTGGGAGAAGCACGTAAGCTCCCTCCGGTCCAAGTAGTATAAATAAAAATGAATCTTCTGGTAATTCATGGGAGAAATCTACTGCATTAAATAAGTAGAGTTAAAGAAGAAAGAAGATAATAACTTAAACAAAAGTTGGTAGAATGGCTGATATTGTTGTTTTTGTGAGTGTGTGCTTTATGCAAATTGCATATTGTATGCAAGCAATACATCATGATAAGACAAATTATAGTTACAGCCAACGGACATGACTGATGATTTCTCTCTTTGTGGATGTAGATGACAATAACATTAAGGTGATACTTGAAATTCTGCTTTTCTGTGCAAATTGCTTCAACAGCAGGAACATCCATCATTTTGGTCCTGACACAGGGTTTTTGAGGATAAAAAACTCTTTAAGTCCATTTTGACCCAATAAAAATGCCTTTTCTCTTTACCCACTACGAAATAATACACTATAAACCAAAAGAAGCACAAAACTTAATCTTCCATTCTGCCACTGAAATCATGCTGCACAAACATGACAGAATGCCATCGCCTCATTAAAGCTCACGGTTGTTAGTCCAACAAAAGGTTTGAGCGGAAAACTGACGTCCTTCCAAAAGATCCATTGTTTATTTTGGAGCTATGAGCAAGCCCATGAGAGGTGGTTACGCTATGGCAGTGCACTTTTGGTTGCGAGACATGATTGAAACTGACATTCCCAGATATCATGTGTCACCTCCTGCTGAAAGCCCCTTCAAAACGCATCTGACAACTGCACTGCATGAGCTGATTGTCCGTTTCACTTGCCCCACCGATTGTCCGTCATCATTTAGGACCAATGAGCAGCATTTACCTGGGTCATCTTTGGCCTCATCTGCTGTGTTGCCAAGCTCGATGTCAAAGTCAGTGTCAAGAACGGTATTTTGACCATGGTTCCGAGGGACTGAGGACAGAGAAACAAAAGAGAGAGATGCACTCAGTTTTTGATAAAGGATCAATTTAGGTATTATATTTGTTCAATGGTTTCTGCACATGGATGTCATCCAGCTTTATTGCACAACAAACGACTGTACAAGGATGAAGAAATACAAAACTTTCACAGTACCCTTAGACAGAGTTTCCAACGTGAAAAACAGCTTTTAGATTGACAGGCTTCAAATGTGACTCATAATGACGAAAAGTGCTGCGGGTCGTGTGATGCAACGTCTTGGCAAAGGTAACTGCTATGCGACTCTGAGATCTTGCACATGCTTTCTGAGGAAAGCCAGACTCAAAATAGCCTTTATCTGCTACCATGGTGTCACACAGCACAAAATGCTGTAGGCCAAGCTGTGTATTAAAGGTCAAATGTGTGCAGCTTAATTGTTATTTTTACTTTTGTGGCAGGAAGTGCATTGGCCCTTTTCCTTGTAAGAAATCATCATCAAGTGATGATTTGTGAAAATGCTTTTCTGTGCATGGACATTTTCTTTTCAAAACCATGTTAATTTAATCAAGAAGAGTGTGTGCAAATAAGACATATCAGTGGAATTAACTACCAAAACTGTCCATGATTAAACTCATATCTCCTGCGATTTGTTTTGGTGATGTATTGAGGGTAAAAAATGTGAACTATCTAGTCCCAGAATCCATAACATGTGACACCTACGGTAAGTTATGAAGGGACCCACCACCACGCTGGGTCTGGACCGCCTGGCAAAGTGCAGTAGTCTGTGTGTCGGAGGAATCTGAGAGCTGGGAGGTCACACACACACCAGGCTCTCAAGAAACTGATGCCATCCATGTCTGGGTGTGTGTTCCAGTGAATGCTGACTGAGTCAGCAGTGACTATAGGGAATTGCTACAAGTTTGTTCTACAAGTATAAAAACATACCAAATCCAACAATCCACATAAGTTATTGTCAACTTTTTTCATGAAATTTCTCTCTCTAGTAAAAACACTGACAGATCAGTGGTTTAGTCAGAGGCATTTGGAAGGCATATGGAATTAAGAAAAAAGTCTCCTCCACGTTATGAATGTAGGCCAAATCTATAACATCTTAAAACGACAATTACAGCTAGGGGTAGAAGTGTCTTCTTCACAGAAAAAGAGAAAGAAAATCTTAGAATGCATTAATTCCACACACTGCTACAATCTACACTGAACTTTGTGCTGTAGTGTACCCAGATCTTTCGGGGGAGGCAGTCAGTAGAAAAAACAAGACAAAAGCAAATGGGGTTTGCTTTTTTCGGTGAAAATATTAAGCAAACAAACTCAGCAGAAATTCTCTCCCTAGGCTTACTATGGTTTGGAAACACACAAAGAATTTCCTAATTTATTTTTCAGATGACAACTTTAGATGAAAATAAAAAAAGCTTAGCTGTAAGCCGAATGGAAATGAACGTTGGACAGAAACAAGAGGACATAGAAAGTATTTAATGTGCCTTGGTTGACTGCTGTTTTTTCCTCTTTCTGCTAGAAACAAAAAGGGCCCCTCTTAAAATAACATTTTGGTAAATACACCCATTCCTCACGTAGATGAGTAATTTATAACTTAACTTCTTACCACAGTGGGACAATGTTAAGTGGAAATTCAGATGAATAAATAAAAAATGAATGATATTGAAATAAGAGAAATAAAACAGAATCACTTTATGGGAAAGAAAATAAATGCAAGCAGATATAGAATTAAATATAGATATTTAACCTATAGAGACAGCAGATTGAAGGGTTTGCCTTGTAGTGATTTGCAAATGTTGATTGCATGAGGAGAGGAATAGACAAAACTTTGAGTAATCTTTAATAACAGTAAACACCTGCAATAGAGACAACTGAGGCATTATTCCCATCATAAGACAAATTTTCATTTCTATTTCCTTCTAATTACTGGAGTAATCACTGTGTGATGTCTCTCCTCTCTCCCCCCGCTCGTCTTCTTCATATCATCGTCAGGAAGCTTGGGTTTTTTTAAACCGCTCTGCTGGGTGCAAACTATTAAACTGATGTGTCCCCCAAGCAGTGTAGACAGGTGTTAATGTAATCTTTTCTCCTGTTTCCTTTTTCCAATTATGAGATGCCATCTGGCAAGAAGGGTGATAACCACAGTGTCTCACTTATTACGTAGGCTCTTAGCTGCTGAAGTAACACTGCATTCACTACTTAATGTTCAGAGTTTGTAAAGAAGTCCCCATACAGAAATAAGACCAGAAATGGCCGTTTGTTGTATTGTTTAAACCCAGAAAAGTTTAGCATGTTTCCGAGCATAGTCTCGGGCCAATGAGACAAACTCCATTTTTGGTATCTGGCTTTTTTTAGTCTTGTCCATGTCTTAACTAAAGTAAAGAGATTTACTAATGTTGTGTTTACTCCAAGGAACTGACTTAGCAAAGAAACCAATTTGAAAAATATCATATGCAATAAAAAAAAAGTCTTTCCTTTTTTGTTTGCCTGAAGCCTGCCGCAAAGACACGTTTTTTTGTATGAAAAAACATAAATATCCCAGTTTGACAGGCATGCAACATACTTGATTAAATAATGTGACACCCAAAATACTTTTTGCTTAAAACCAGTTAAATAAAACTGAAAAATATGGACCTCTAAAGAAGAGCCGGTGAGTCTAAAAAGCTGACAGTAGCAGATACAGGGTACCTGAAAGTAAAGAGCCAAGTGTCCTTCAGACACTTTCACTAAGACCTGACAACGGACCTGAGAGATGCATCTGGCCCCTGGGTTGATTTATCTACTGTTCACTGAAGCCCGATCAAAAACGGTCTACCTAGGAAAGTGAAAAGTGTCAAGAAGCCATTTTTATGACGGGGAAACGAGAAGAAAAATTGAGGCATGCAAATAAAAAGAGCTGGTATGAACATCAGTTGTAGTAAGACTTATAGAGTGAACAACCTCTCCGGAGCCTGGACATCAAAATTATGGAAGTGTGGGATCAGACCGGAACGAAAAGCAGCCAGCATCCTGAAGACTACCTAAAGAAAGCTTGTCTATGAGGGTTCAGGCTGTTCAGGTAATGAATAAATGAATATTAATCAGTAAACAAATTATAGTAGTTCAAGCGGTGTTTGTTCTTTAAAAACTTGATTTGCATTCTTGTTTCCATGTGCAAATCACCTTTTGTCTATTTTTACACCAACAGATACAGCTGGATGTAACCTTATGTAACGTATACCTGCATAGATATGTACATTTCTATGGTACTGCTGGGCCATCCTAAGATCCTAAGATAAAGTCTGATTAATTCATTAATGATGCTGACTTCAGCACCAAATTAAATGTTGCTGAATGATTCTCATCAGCAAGGATTATATAATGAAAAAAAAATCTTGTTTTAAAAAGAACCATGTTGGGAAAAAGCTTAAAATAACTGCTATGAGTTCCACCTTTGTTGGAGCAGAGATGCAATCTCGACCATCTCTCATTATTTGAAATCCATTGCTTTTTACGTGGATTTGATCCAACTAAAATAACCATTGATGATGCACTTTGAAGAAAATTGCTGTTATAAACTTCTGCTTTCTGTCAAAAGCAAATAAAACGGTCCAAAACCAACAGCAAGCTTCTCAAAGATAGTTTCTCCAGAGTTGTTGAAGCCGTTCAAGAACACACAATCTAAAACTTGTCCTTCAAAATGCCTGTTTGACTGGTACATGACAGTGAAATTTAGCATGTGAGGATAATATGAAAGAGCAGTGACAATTCCTCCACAGTCTTAGTTCATTGTTTTACTTTTTCTTTTCGTTTCACCCAGTCAATCCGCATAATTTTTCATAAAGCATTTTTTCCTCATTGAAGAACAGTTACTTTCACTCTTTTAGTACATGTATTAGTAATTGTTAGATATTAGTAAATATATGATCAGTCAGTCGGGGAAATGCAATTTAAATGTGAATCAAGCTATCTAATCATGTTCGAGAATGCATTTCTATTCACGTTCAGCTGCTTTCTGATGAAAAAAACAGAATCAAATAAACAGTAGCTCTTACTGTGCACATCCCCTCTCTGTTTGGTGACCTCCTTCTGGATGGTGTTGTCCACTGGTGTGACCGGTGGTGGAGGAGGTGGTGGCGGTTGTCTTGTGGGAGGCACGGGTCTCGGTGGGACGTAGGGTTTGCGCGTTGGTATTGACGGCTTTCTGGTTGGGACAAAAGGCCGTTGGGTGGGAACTGCTGGCTTGCGTGGAGCTGGGGTGATCCTCCTGGGAGGAAGCGAGGGGGTTTTGGTGGTTGTTGTTGTAGTTGGTGCTTTATGGATGATAGGGAAGCCCCTCTTTTGAGTGACTGGTGGGCGGACGGTGGTGGTCCTCTTTTGATCCTTATCCGGGATGTGGTTGTGATGATTTGGAGGCAGTTTGCCTGGCCTCGGGGGCTCAATAACAACCTTTGGGATGGCTGAAATCATACAAATGCAGACGGGGCAGTGAAATATGAGCACTTACAAGTTAATGGGGCATAGAATTGCAGACTAAGTGCAATGATTACGCTGACTTTTACCGAGGACGGCTTTATTTCATCCGCGAGACTTCTCCTGATATCTATTAACTAAATGTTAGTATCCTAAAACAAATTAGATGTCTCAAATCTCACTGAAGCAGAAGCTCACAACTGCCAGAGAAATCTGTGAGTTCCCATTCATTTATCGCCACAGAGTCCTACCAAACCAAACAGCAAATGTTTGCCTTTCTAAAAAGGAAAATTGCCTTCATGTGGCATTATATAGCTCATGTGGTCATCTCGAGTGATGATCCTTTGTGTGCTCACAGCCAGAGGCTTCGCAGTGTCAAGCTGAAGCTGATTTGTGTGTGTGAAACGATTCCTGTGCTCGAGCTGCTGTAACCCTAAGATCACCCTCGATGATGAAACCAAAGGTACTCCTCCTTTTCTTTTGTTCCTCTTTTCATTGTTCACATCTGAAGCAGGCGGGCAAGCAGGCATATTAGGGGGTTGGGGTTTCTGTTCGTAAGGGTTAAATGAGGGAGGAACGAGCATGGATAAAGGCAAGTGTTTTGAACTTGGTTATTCCCTTCTCAGGTAGCAAGCCACCTTGATATGTGATACACAAATAGGGTATTGCAACATGACACTGAAGAATTGTGTCCTGCACCCTTTGTGGAGTGGAGCAGTAAGGTGTCTTTGCAAGAGGCATCCTCTCTACTCCCTTGACTGTTACATTGGTCGTGTCACTCAAATGATTAAATGACTGTGGAAATATATGGCTGCTTTTCCACTGAGCTGCTGTAAAAACTGCAGCCGCACTGCTTGATGGACTGCATGCAAGTGCGAAGGAGAAAAACTACAATATTTCACCTTTGATTATGACTCCCTCTCTTGGTTGATTAAAACGGCTGCATGGCAAAAACTAGAGTGAGCCTTTGCACGTATCGTAAAGGTGTAGTTTGATTTAAGTAATCACTGACAGCCATTACAAAGAAAGGAATTTCAGCACCAGCTCTCAGCTCGTAAAACTATTCCTCCCTCTCTCTTGCATTCCCACTCTAAAAAAAAAAAAAAAAAAGAGCAAGCAAAGGAGGTGAAAATGTGAGGCCCCTTTATTCTTTGTAAAAGTGAACACCAGGGCCAGCGTTTTGTTCCAGGGTCTTACGTTTACAGTCGTGCCCCATCCCCCTGTAGCCGTCTCTGCATTTGCACTTGTATGAGCCTGGCGTGTTGTAGCAGGTGGCAAAGCTGCTGCAGTGGCTCTGACCTAAAGAGCACTCATCCACATCTGAAAGAGAACAGAACAGACAAAAAAAACATTCAGTGTTAACAGAAAAACAGCTTCAGACATAACACCAGAATAATAAAGGTTAATTGCTTCACGTGTGCTTGAAGGACAGCTCAGAGTTTATGTAGCAAAAGCACTCCAGTGAAAGATGGTGATTGTTTTCATGAATCCATGAGAAAAAATCACCATGAGGGTTGTGTGGGGAAAAAAAATCCCCCAAAAACACATCCTAATCTGTCCTGCACAATAGTCTTTCTGCGTATATGTTGGAATGTTTTCATTTATGTAACCACTCCTGGGTTTGGTTCCTGATTTTTCCAGCAGTTTGGATTTTTTAATATAATCTGAACACATTCCAAATGCATGGCATTGTTTAGACTGAAGATTTGCATTTATTTATTCTGTATTGCAAGGTGTTTATCGCATTGGCTTCTGCAGAGTATAAAGTATTAATAGAGAAAAGACACTGACACAGTTGCACAGAGCAATGATCACAGAATCCTGATGCCACCAGTCAGTATAGTTACATGCACAGTTGTGTATGTTGATCACAGCAGTGCTGTTGGCTAAATGAAAGGCTCCAGACATTCTGCAACACCTGACCTCTTGTCTGATGACATGATTGCTATTATTCCAGTGGCACTTAGCAAAAGTCTATAAAAGCTACTTTACACAGCTGTGAGTAGATGTAGGTAATGGGTTGATTTTGTGTATAAGTTCTGCATCCATTGGACAAACTGATGAAAAGAGACAAATATGTATATGAAAGTAGTCTAGTGGTAATTCCAATTCCAATTCATCCATTTAATCCCATTTCACTGTTTATGCAAACAGATGCAAAAAGATTAAAGTTTTGGAGCACTTTCATTGTCTCTGTGAGGATTTGAATACATTAAACAAATGTATTTGACTTGATATCTGGGTTTTGTTAGTTTGGTTTTGAGAGGCTTGCTTTCATATGATTTCTGTTGGGTCATGATGTTAACATGCATTTTAAAAGTCTGGCATCAGACATTTTGAATGATATTTTTCTTATTTTTTTATGTCATGGAGACATGCTAGTAGATTCTGTATGATCCATCCAACTAGTACTAAATGTGGGTCCATTTATAGAATAAAGGTTGCACATGAAAAGTTGCTTCACCGAAATGGATACATTTTTTATCCATTTTCGCCATAATAATTATCACACAGTTATCAGTTTTCTTTGTCATATAGTTAAAACAATAATGCAAATGGAAGAAAAGTTTATCTTTTATACTTGTATAAAAAGATGGCGATATCAGCAACGTATTTTTTCTCTGAAATGTGTTCTACTGTCTGCCTGAAGCTTGTTCTGCTGTCTGCCTGAGGCTTGCATTTCTGTTTTATTCTGCTTTATTATTTAAAAAACCATCAACAAAACAACTTCAAGGACAGGCAGAGATCATCTGTGATGTGCGTGCTCTGCTTTTCACCCAAAGCTGGGAAAGGTTCCAGTCCCCTGCAACCTTACTTATAACAGGCAGTAATAAAAAACTGGATGGATGGATGGATGGATGGATGGATGGATGGATGGATGGATGG